AAGTTCATAACCAGAACGTTTGGCCTTGAAGCATGAAGAACACAAGGTCCTGCAAGAGAGACTGAGCCTCTTTCCTTTTGGCCACTTCATCCTTTGCACAGATGGTTTTCTTCTGGGAAAAGGTGTTGAGTGAGAGCTGAAAAGGCTGGTTTATGGCATTAAAAGAGCCCAAGAATACTGAAGACTGTTCATGCTGTTCTTCCAAGAACCACTGGGGCCAACAGTGCAATGAGCAACGCAACAGGAATGAATGTGAGAATAATTGAGTTTTATTTTTCTGTCTTGAGACCTCAGATTCACCATCTTTACATTTACGAATACAAATAATGAAGAAAATTTGGCAGCTCTGCAGTGTGGCATATGGTAAGTGAATTAGCAATGAAACAACTGAACCTAGCAGTTAGCAATGCTCATTCACCACAACTTCTAAAAATTTACCTCTTGTTTTTCACCTTTACTTACTTTGCTTTTAACATTTGAACAACTTGCTAACTTTCTTTGTAACTTCTCTGACTGCTAGCTAGCTAGCACCAAACATTAGCACCGAGAGAAATACATGATAATCAGCAAATGTGCTGCAATATCAAATTTGCTAATGATGAGTTTTAAATGCTTTCAGAGAATGGCCTTAGGGTGAGCTATGTACTTGTCAAATGTCTTGCAAGCTGGACGTCCTCTTTAGCCACAATACATTTAATTTGGCGTGCTGTTGATGTAGTGTGTAGCTCCCAGATGTAAATGGGTGTAACCAAGTGTGAAATTGGTGTTGCTGAAAGGAACACATGCACGAGACACATTACCTTTCCCAGGATAGGTGGATCCCGTCAGTGTGTGGACAACTCCCACTGGGTGGAACTAAGAGAACATGAGTGCTGTAAATCGCATCTAATGAAGTAACTGCTGAACCCTTTGACACCAATCAGAGAGCTTATCATCGCCCAGCAGATGTATATTTTTGTGGTAGGGGGACAAACCAACCTTCTAACTGCCATTTGATAATGTTTAAATGCAGTATCTCTTTCTTCTTAGCTTTGACACATGAGCTATTGGATTCCTGTCATCAAAATGAATAAATCTTTCATGATCCTTTCCGCCTCATGGACTGCGACAACCGCAGCTCTGGCTCCAGCTTGGGTCTTGTCGGTCCTCTCGTTAGGCTGTTTTGCTTTTTTAAAGAGATGTATGATGAGGATTTCCGTTGAAAGAGCTGCTGAATTTCTCCCTTGAGTTCCAGACAGGTTCGGGGCGACCTCCCACACCGAACGGTGTTGACACATTACGAACTAGCCGAGTAATTCTCCCATTTCCTTTGATTCTCATGCTTTCCTCAAAATGTGTCTGTGTGTGCACATATGAATACGCACCCACTTAGTTCTTCACCCTCTATTCATCTATTTGACATATTGAACTGTTTTTTTCTTCTCTTTTGACTGCTTCCTTTTTACTGACATCCCCTCCATTACCGTTTCAGTCTTCTCTGCCATTTTGACTCCCCCAGAAATGTGGATTTCTTTGGCAAACACCTCCATTAGGATGTGCAATTACCGATGTTTTCATTTTCAAATATTGTCCCATTTTGGTCAGGATATAATTATAATTAGGATTTCCTTTTCCACTTGCCAGTAATAAGTCAAATTTGATGATTTCCCTTTTATATTTCAAGCAGGGCTGGAGGCCTTTTTCCAAGCACAGAGTTTGTGTCGCTGGATGCTTGGCACCGCAGCCATGGTGATGGATTTGAAACCCTTCTCAAAAACAACATAGCTTACCTTTAATCGCGGCGGCCCACTTTACACATTAGCACAATCAATTTAATTGGGGAAATAGCTGAGCGAGAGGTGACATCAAAGACGCAGGCAAGCAGCCAAACTCATGCAATCACTCGGCATCCATTGCTGCCTCTAGATGAGGCTGTGTGTCACGGTAGCTACAGTGGAAAATGTGAACCCCGCACAATGTCCTTTAATAGACAAGAGAGGTCTTTGAGGCTTGCCAGCCTGCGTTATGGTGCCTATTTGTCTTGGTGGAGTTTTTATCAGGTTATTTTCAGGGCTATAGAACTCAAAGATGTGTTAGTCTCTCCACAAGAGACACTAATGGATGAGAATGAAAATTTGCACCCTTTGAAGGTTAAAGTGTGGACCAGCTTTGTTTTCCAGGAAGAGGAGCTTAACCTTAAAGCAATAATACTTTTTGGAGCCTCAAGTGCCACATTATAAAACTGACTCTTAGCAAGCATGCCTGGTGTCATTCATTTATTGCCAAGTTTCTGGCCACACACAAACATGAACACAAACACACACAGTTTAGGTCCATTATTCATGCTCTGTTTTACTCCCCACCAGGTTTGGGGAAATATCTACTAAATGTTCTACTTCCTTCATTGGCTAATAATGTCCTTAGCTGCTGAACCTTGCCACAGAGAAGTGTGCAGAAACCATAAGATGTAAAAATATAAATGATTTTTTTAAGGAATATTATTTAGTTAGTTATTTAACCCATCTTTATTCAAAAGTAAAATTATTCTTTAATGCTATAGTTTGTGCTAAGTAAAATTCATGATATGATCAGGTCTGCAGCATAAAACTGTATATAAAAGATGGAAGTCACTACTATTGGTTTTGCATTGTCATTTTGAATTAAACCACCGGTGGTGTGTCAGAAATGTCACTGTTGTTTTTGGACTTTTGTTTCAAAGTCTCCAGTTTAGCGTTTTGGTTCTTTCCATCATCCTGGGGGGTTTGTCAGCTGACTAGCTAGTTTGGTTAGCAAAGCAGCATCTTTAACCTGCTGTTAAATGGGATGCTAACCTTTACCAGCAGGAAAAAAAAAGAGCTAAGCAGCTAAAACCAAAATGTAATCCAATTACAAACTGAATTGATCGTTTAATCCATCCCCAACAAGCAGTCATGGCAGATGGCTGCCCCTCCTGAGCCTGGTCCTGGCAGTGGGTTCTTCCTGTTAAAATAGTTTTTCCTTCCCACTCTCACCAAGTGCTTGCTTACAGGGGGTCTTCTGATTATTACAGTGATTATAGCAATCATAGTTATCACAGCAAGCTTTAATACCATTTACACATTTGTCTTGTATGAAAAATTGACCATTCATACGATGTCACATGAATGTGGATATTACCTATATGACCAAAATTGGTTTAAGATGTTGGCTTTGTTTTTGTTTTCCACCTTTGGAGGTTGTCACTTGGTCATTCAGCTGTCGCTTTTTATTATGGGCATTCTAAGAAACTATTCCTAAAGAAAATCTAACAAAAGGGAGTTACTTTATTAACTTGGAACACCTGCTTCCAGAAACAGCAACTCTGGTAATGCTTTTACTGCTAAAACAGGGAAAGTCACTCATTAATGGTTGTTACCTTTTGTTTTTCAAATCCAACAAAGTGCGACTTAAAGAAATGTTCCCTTCTGTGTAGAGTCATGCACAAAATCCAAATGTATGGAAAACGTATGTGGAGGATTTTTTTTTATTATTAGTACACCACAAGACAAGGGTTAGAAAACATCTGAAAGGCCGCACAAATCCATCTCCAGCCCGTCTTTCACTGATCCGTCATCACCACGAGCAGTGACCTTAGCAGAGGCTGCAGAGGTCAAACCACGCTGTCCATCTCCGTTACTCAGTTCATGAATAAACAGAGGCCAGTGTATGGGCGTACACGTCTGCTAGGGTGATTACACGCACGCAGAAACATACGCATGTATGCTCATACATCCTCGTGCCGATTCCACTGGCATAATTAGAAACATTTGGGATCATTTGCAAAGAGAACACAAGCTCTGATGGGATCCAGATGCACTACTGGGTTTCACTGAAAATACAGGAACCCTTATTTATGAGGGGCCTTTGCTGGCTCCTCACTCAGGGAAGTGTGTGTGTTTGTGTGTGCTGCCCAGTTTGTTCATATACTAAATGGGTGTTTGGGAGCAGATCATCCGTATTCAGGTCATACTTAGTTTAATGGCTTTTGTTTTTGTGAGAAAATGACGGTTTGCATTTCTCAAAATTTCACTCAAATTAAAAAAAAGAAGCAGTTAGTGGATCACAGAAATGCCTGATGACGGTTACGTCCCTCTGAATGAAAATATCCTGTCACTTCAAGAGGTTTGCTCCAGTCATCTTCTTGTTTTGATGTCACCAAAATGTTTGCTGTGGAGAAAAATAAAACAAACCATAACCATTATGAACTAAGTCATAACACAAGACTCAGTACTAGTGATCTCTGGTGCAAGGCACAGACAGTGTTGTTACATGTAGCACAATGCTTCCACCTTGTGGATAAGATATGAACAAACACTTTAAGATCAGTGGGAGTTGATAGATCTCACAGTGGGGTATAGGCAGGAGAATTATGATGACGCGTGATAGCCACTAGCAAGCTTCTGGTACAGTTTTGGAGGGTTTTGGTCGATCTTCTTATTTAAATTGGTTGGTTTTCTGGCACCAACCAAGCTTTTAAGCATAGTCTAAAACTTTTAATAGGGTTGAGTGTGGGGCTTTTTAAAGGTCAGTGTTAGTCTGCCTTATCCATTCCAAAACACAATCTACATCAATAACATTATTATTTCTCATTATCCAGACACTCACCTATACATCAGATATTCTGTGCAGACATAGCCGTACTGTGTCTCCAGCCTCTCTGCTCTTCTATCCCGTCTTTATTTCTTTGAAAAACAAAGATAAACTTTCATTATTAGTTAGAAGCACAGCCTCTTAATCTAATAAAAGTTACATTCCTTCATGTCATGGCACGTTATGTAAGATGTTAGTGTTAGCAACATTATGCCAAATTACAATGTTAGTTATGTAAGAGCAGTGTTTATCCCTGTGGACTATCAAACACCATTAAATAGACTTTCCAGTGTCTTTCTGACAGTGATAAAAAGTGACCGTGTAATCACATATGACAAAACTCCCACCCACAGGCTTTTTATCACAGTGTTGCTGTCAAGTCACATCAGCTGACGCTGTGGAACATTCCTGACCTTTCTACAGTGTTGGAGTCCATTTATGAGATCAGCTTAATGTTCCTGTCAACTGATCAAAACAGCTTTATCGGCCGTTCTCCCTACAGTCTCCGTCGCCACTCCCTGCTTTGTTCTAAAACACACGGTTGCTTCAGATGATGCCGGCGAAGCAAGACGATGAGGTCACTCATGAGCCAGCGAACTGATCAATTGTAGAAAGAATCCCTGGTAAACAGGCAAACAAGTGGGTGAAGTCGGTGCATGTAGAAACGTGTATGTGCGTGTGTGTCAGAGTGCGTATTTACCTGGTGGAGGACGACAGAGGGTCAGCTGGACTTCAGGTGGAGAAGTTTTGAAAAGCTTTAGCACCTTCTGCAGGATGAATAGTTGATAACAAACAAAAATGCATGCAGATATTTTTGAGATTTTAATCATCGTATATACTGCATAGAAACCAAGTTCAGTAGCATTCATACAGCTATATAAAATCCATCGTATCGTAAGACTATATCTGATTTGAATGGAAGAAAATCAAAGCCCAATAACAAAATTAGCAAACACAGATGATTAAGCTTAAATGGACGGTTCACACCAAATTAACAAATCTTCCCTCTTGCCTGCAGTGCTGTTTATCCTACAGATTGTTTTGGTGTGAGCTGTCCACTTTTGTAGATATCAGCTGTAAAAATGTCAGCCTGCTCTTGAATATAACAGAACTAAATTGTACTTGCCTTGTGCTGCTCAAAGCACCAAAAAAGTACATTTGAAAAACTCAGCAGTGATGTCTCTTTCCAGTAATCATGACCCAGTTACTCAAAAAGATTCTCAAGTAAATCTCAATGAACATCTACCCCAAAATCTACAGCCCCGAGGATGAATTTGCATTTGCACTGCCTACTTTAATTTAGCATCTCCACATACTGGATAGGACAGCTCTTTGAGCGACTGGCCATTGATGGCCAGCAGGACATCTCCCTCCTGGATTCTGCCGCTCTGCTGAGCAGGCTGACCCGGGAAAAGCTGCTTTATCCGGACGAGGCTCCCAAAATCTCGGGTGGGCGGGTCCAGCTCACACATCAAGAAGCTGAAGCCCAGCCCACTCTCATTCTTGATCAGAGTCACTTCCTTGGTGTTGTCTTTGAGGTCGAGGATAGGGCCGGTAATGGGGTAATGATAAGGTAAAGCATTGGAAGGGCAAAGGAGAAGAAGAAGGAAGATAGAAGAGTGTGTAGTAAATGCCTTCATTCAATAACGTCTCTGTTAATTCATGTTGCTTAAATGCTTACGAATATGTTACACCAACTCCTAAAAGTTCACTTATTCACCTATTCCTTTTTCCTTTTTTTCCTCTCTGGGAGGATTATGTGATAGGCCAGTCTGAATCTGTATTGTTTGCTCTTCAGTCAAGTCAGAGTGATGTCTCCTGTTTTCCCCACTACACCTTTTTGTGTAACAGTTTTTGTAAAGATAGTGGTCCAAAATCCCTCCTGACTAACTACATGAAACATCTCATTGATGTGCTTGCCATTAAGCATTTTGTATTAATTTTGTATTAATGTATTAATTTCTAAACCTGAGCTGAGGTGTCGTACCATCAGTAACAAAGCTGTACTCGTTGGGCCGATCAGATATCGTGTTTAAAGTAGTGCTCACAGATGAGGAGCTGTTGAGTCTTAGCTGGCTGGTAGATGAACTCAGGCTCGGATTGGATACAGTGCTGCTGGTGTCAGCAATAAGAGAGACCCTGGGTAGGTTGACCAACTCCCTCTCTACAACCAAGGACACTACCTATGATAGAAGAAGACAGGACAAGATTGGGATTTGGTTAAAAAAAGGGGGGGGAAAGGAGATATGAGAGTAACAAAAGGAAAAATGTAAATGGATGGCCACGGTGGAACAGAATTCAGTTTGATGAGACCGAAAACTGACAGGATAAATCCATTTGCAGCTGGACTGAAATGGAATTCATGTTGGATTTCTACTAATGTGGCTCAGTCTGGACGCTGTGCTCGCTCATATCTCATCTTTAAGTGTCTTTGGAGACACAATGACCACAGGACGTAGAACTCAAATCCAGAATCATGGAAGTGAACTAAATCCATCTTTATACTGTCAGGGTATTATAGTTGGCACCATGGACAGCAGCATAGACAGAGTGCAGTACCGGCACTTTAGTGAGAGATTATTTTAGACCTTACTTTAGATCGCTTGAGATCCAATAAAGATACAAACTGTATCTAATATGAAGGCAAATGATTTTCAGGAGTTTTTCTGAGTCTGAGCACACAAATCTGATTCTATAATTTTGGATAGTTCATCATGCAGTAGTTGTTCCTCACATTGACATCCACAAATCCACATCATTAGTATGGCTAAATCATAAGTCACCATCAAATGCAGACACTGGTAATCCTTGGTCCCTTGTGGTCGCATTTCATGAATTTACCTCCCCAGTTTTACTCAAGCACTCCACAGCCTGCTGGTAGGTGAAGCCCTGGAAGTTAGTGCCGTCGATCTCCAACAGTCTGTCACCTGAAAATGAAAGAGTTAAGAAACAGTTAACTCTTACTATAACACTTCTTCTTTTTACAATTACAAATGTGTGATATTGTTTTTTTGACTCCTTTTTGCCTCCGTGTTATTTGCTTTTGGGTTGTTTTTTTAAAATTTATTTGATTAAACCATTAGGTTTTAGCATTGCTTGATTTAACACAAAGTGTAAGAGATGAGAGATGAGATAGCCTTTATTTGTCAGTTGCAGTTGGTCACAACCGAGATGACAGACCTTGCCGACCGTACATACAATACACAAACATCACATTGGGGAGACAGGTCAGGCCAGGTAGCAAGGGGGAAAAAACATCGAAATGTGTTACAGAAAAGGATAATCCAGGAATGCACAGATATCAACACACCATAACACAATAAAACACAGACAAGCAACATGGGAGAGTATTCTAGTGTGTACAGCTGATCTGGGACCACTGCAATCTTCGATTGCGCCTCCAGCTGATCCGTTGTCCACATTGGATGGGAGGTAAGCAGGAGGCGTTGGATTCGGCGGAGGGAGGGTGATAGTGAGGGCGTATCAGTATCAGTGTACATGTTTCGTGCGTGTGCATGTGTGTATCCCGTGTTCAGCTGAGAGAAAGTGTCACCACGCCCGGTTAAGCGAAAGTCAACAGTCTCCAGTGGACCCAGGTGGCCTTGAAGGAGGGACAAAGAGTTCTGTTATCATGGGAAGAATTTGTTGTTCCAGTCAGCTTCAACCTTGGCAGGACTTCAGCTGGCGCCAGGGGGGCCGCATGAGTGAAGATGATGAATGTTTGGGTTTAGTGCGAACAACTGCATCCAATTTTTACAGTTGGTCTAATGTCCATCACTGGTCACCAATTATCTCAATTCCTGTTGTTCTTCTCCAAGATCTTATCCATATTGCGTTCAAAACACAGTCTGAGTACTCAAAGCCCTGCCATCGTCTATCATGTCTGCCAGACTTATGGGATTTTGAACAGCTGTAGCCGCTTCTTGTTCTTCGATAAGCCGAGCCAGCTCCAATCAGCCCGAACTCTGTTATCGTGGTTCCAAATTGGTAGATGTCGTTCAATGTCCTCCGTCGAGAGTGTCGCCAGACACACAACGCAACCGACCATCGAGTATCCGGCAGCAAACGTCTCCGCAGGACAATCGGGCTCTCCCAAGCCTAGCAGGGTGTCAATTCCATTACAGGAGCAGTTGATCAAATCCATAATTCTTTAGGTTTTAGAGAACAAGACTGGGAAACTCTTTGAGGGTTAGAGTTAGACGAGACTAGACAAACACATAGAAGCAGCAGCAGGGAAGATAAGGGAGGGAGAGGGAGAAAGATGTGTCCACCTCTTCCGAGAGCCAAA